TTGATCTTCTTAACTTTTATAATAGGTAATTAGCATGATGGTTGATTGTTTTTCTCCATATAGTTCAAGCGAGGTTCTATTTGTTGTCCAAATTAGCTTAATTTAACTTTCAGCAGCAAATTTCCATTTTGTATGTATCCTAAGTTGTGAGCGATTTCTTGTTATTTCATTGACCAAGCTACTTCTTGTTATTTTGCTGAAGGGATGTATTGATTATTTTTGCAAAAATTAAAGGCTTTGCTTGTGAGAACAGCACTGCGATTACTACCTGATTTACATGTTTGGGCTTTTCCATTTTTAATGAAATAACATTGCTGCTTCATATTATCCATGTTACTTCCTCTCTGAATATTAGCCAAGTATTAGGCAAAATCTGATTTTTTTAGAATATATTCCCAGGTCAAAAGAATAGTGAACTGTCAAAATAATTTATTTCTCTATTCTTTTCATTGTCTTCATCGCATGAATCGTTTAGCCAACCATAATATTATGCACCAATGCAAATACAAATATTTAGATTATCTATTTGTCGTGTGAGATTTTAAGAACCTCCGTAGGCATTAGAATGATTTCATATCGTGTAAATCAATAAGATTTCGTAGGTATGATGATCAATCTTATAATAAATATTTAAGTCTCATGTGAAATTTTAAGAATCTTCGTAGAGACTCAAGTTAATCACATTATCGTGTAGGATAATATATCCCCGCAGATATCGTGATTCTTAATTTGTATATATTACATAAATGAATTTTTGTAAATAAAATAATAAATGTTTTTTATGATTTTAATTAATTAAATTAATAAATTTGAATTATAATCACTTTGACAAATTAGATCTTTTGGTCATGTGAGGTTTTTGAAACTCTGTAAACCTTTAAGATAATCGTACTACCGTGTGAGTCAATAAGACTTCGCAGGTATAACGGTTAAGATTTCTATATTTAAAAATATCCGTTGTATACTTACGCATTAAAATATATTCAAAGTGAATATTGTTTAATCCTTTTATTGTGTGAGACCTTGTATCTCTGTAGATATTTAGGATAATCTCGTATCGTGTAAATCCATAAGGTTTCACAGATATGAGAATAAAACTTATATGTTAATATGGGTTCAAAGGGCCCATCATTAAATTTAACTCTCTTTTTATAACTCAGATTAATAATTTATTTAAGTCTCATGTGAGATTTCAAAAATCTTTGTAAGGACTTAAATTAATCACATTATCGTGTGGGATAATGAGTCCTCGCAGATATAGTGGTTCTCAATATATATGATGATGTTCGTAAATAATCATATAATAAACAATTCAAAAAATTAATTAACCAAATTAATGTATTTAAATGGTAATCACATTTATCAATGATATCTTTTAGTCATGTAAAATTTTTGAATCTCTGTAGACTTATAAAATAATTGTATTATCGTATGAGTCAATAAGACTTTACAGATATAACGATTAAGTTTATTAATATATATATAAATTATATATTAAATTAATCAAATTAAGGATGTATTTAAATGAATCTAATTCCTTTATTCTTTATCGCGTGAGATTTTAGAATCTCCTCAGATATTTAGGATAATCATATTATTGTATATGCCAATAAGGCTTGGCAGGTATGATGATTAAGAGTCTTTAAAACGTATACACACACACACACAAAATATATTATCAACACTTAAAAATGTACATAAGAATATAAATAAATAAATAATTAAATTGCCAAATTCTTTTATTGTGTGAGATTTCAGAATTTCCGCAGATATTTAGAGCAATTGCATTACCGTATGAACCAATAAGGTTCTGCAGGTCTTGCGATTAGAATTCCCAATCATAAAACATAAAGAAAAATATTTTTAAACCTTTTTCTTTCTTTATTCCAAAAATTCAAAAATGGAGAAAATAATTAAAATTAAATTACCTCTTGCAATTTAAACACTCATATCAAAATTTCAAAAATTGTTTTATTGCAAAATAATGAATTTTTCTAATTAATTTCACTTCAAAAAATATTTTCACCAACAAACTTTTATGCTCGAATTACGTGGACTTTGATCCCCATCATAGGGTACGTAGGCCTCAGAGTCAGATTTTGAGTCAAGTCCGTCCTCCCTTATAAATAAATAAACATTTCTCACATAATTCTTTTTATTTTTATCAAACACATGAATACAAAAGGGATAATTAAAATAATTATAAAACCATATTAAAAGAGCACAACAAATTCAGGTAACCGTTCTGACGAACGGGTGTTTGGGGGTGCCTAACACCTTTCCCATACTCAACCGACTCCCGAACCTATTCTCTGATTTCACAGACCACCCTTATCCTTCCTTTTAAATGGTTTCCCGAGATTTCCCTCAAAATCTTGGTGATGACTTCTCGTTCGATCCGATTCCCGCCACGAAGGCCGGGATCTCTGCTCGTGCTTTGTCCGCGTCGTATTTTTCAGGATGCGACAGTAAGGTTACATTAGTTATTTTAAAAAAGTCTTGAATCAATTTGTTTTCCATGTTTTCATTCTTTTGTACATTTAATTGGATTTGTAATGTCTTTTGTTTGATCATATTTTTAATATAAATTTTTGTGAGAACAATACCCTTGCACTTGCGGAGTGCAACAATAACCGTCCAAGTTTTCAAAGGCTAATTTGTGTATTTAATAATTGAAACTAAACTTTTATTGGGTCTACTAAATACTGATCAATAATTAAATAATTTGATATAAAATTATTAGCAAAGGAATTTAAAATTGAACTAATTAGTAGCAATAGTTAAAGAAAACCTGTGATGGAATTTAAATTATTAGCGACGGAATTTAAAATTGAGACTAATTATTAGCAACATTTAAAGTGAAACTTGCGACAGAATTTAAATTATAAGCGATGAATTAATTAGTGATGAAATTTAAAATTTCATCGCTAACGAATTAGTAACAGCCAGTGCTTTTACCAATAAATTTATTCTGTCATTAATTCTATTGCTAGCCCATTTAGTGATGAAATTTTTTATCACAAATCTATTGTTTTTTTGTGGTGTTTTGTCTCATGACTCATGATGCTAAAGAACTTGGGAGATGTTAAGAAATGACGGTGAAATCATGAGAACGTTATGCATAGACTAAAATGAAGGAAGGTGGTAAGAGTTATTTTCAGACTTGTTCGTAACAAAAAGTTTTTTGCTAAACTTAAAGGACAATTTTATAAGATCAATGATATATGATAGTAAATGTTTTTTTTCCCCCAACAAGATAAAATTACTATTAAAAGGAACAGAACAAGTCCCAATACAACAAAAAAAAAAGGCGAAAACATAGCAAAAACAAAATCAATCAGTTTCGCAACTAAATTCCAAGAGGAACTGGGTCTAACAAGGACACAATTCCTGTAGTGCAGCCTCGGCGACCCAATCATCCACCACATTCGAACTCAAAAGGAGAAGACACCTTCGATCAGCAGGAACTGATTTAGAGTTCAAACATCAGTTGTTCATAATCTTTGAATCAGATTCAAAACAGACACACTCAAAACTCCCGAACTAAAAATTCAGCCTCTTATTTAGAGAAAGATTTACATTTATCACGGGAACCATCAATAATCCAACCATTACAATCCTTGACAACAAAGGCAGCAGAAGCGAATTTCATATTTAGTTCATTTACATATAAAAATGCCATCGCATACTTTTTAGTACACCTGTTTTTTTTTTTTTTTTAAGGTGTAGAAAGTAGATGTAAAAAGTTTTTTTTTTTTGGTAGTATAACAATCAGAATTCGTTGCCATTAGGAGCAACTGATTTAGGAAAAGCAGAAGCAGCCTGATTCCTATATGATAGTGAATGTGGATTGCTAAAAGAATAACGGGAACATAAAATTGGGATAGTAAAAATAATGTGTTGAGATGAATGTATGGTTATACAAGGTGAGATAAAATTCATAATAATCAAAGAGATCGATTTGGCGTAACAATTATTAAGAATTTTTTTTTGTAAAAAGTTGTTTAAGATGATCTGGTTACGTGTAAAAGAATATGCCTGAGGAGATGTCAATTAAAAAGGGTGACTTGATATTAATAAATTAAATATTTATCTACGAACAAGTCACAACAAGAACAGTAAATGAGGGCTTACAAATATAAACTCTTGGTTCTAGAATATTCCTCACCATACATGGATTTGTGAATTTCTTAGCCGTGCATGGTTCACACCCAGAAATAGTGATTAATGATCCATGTCCACTATTACACGAACCCCACAACTATGAGATTGGGACTGGTCCTTCTTTTTGCTCCCATTCCAACTAACTCAGTTCATTCATGGTTGCTCATTCACCCGCTCGTGATCTTAAAGTTTATGTTATAATTTGTGGACGAAACCCCTACATTAACATATAGTCCTTATCTCTTAATTACCTTTACCACACCAACCATGCACTTGTATATGTATATGTGTACACACACCACACATATGGTTTCCCGTGTGGCTTCATGCATGTGAATACCTTGTCAACTTGCAGTGCTGCTCGATCGGCTTGTGTAATAAAGGGAGCAAAACCTTTTTCTTATAGCAATGCCTCCGTCGGATATACATCCCAAACCCAAATTTTCAATATTTTATTTGAGTTATATATTAGTAAAACAAGATTGAACCTTAGACACTCTCCCTTACTTGAATAAATAAGCTCCTACTTCAATTCAATTTGTTGAGCTAGCCTTAGACATAGTAGCAACTGTCATATAAAATTGCTGGATTATACGCAGCACAACTTGAACTTGGAAGTTAATAAGCAACTCCTGCAACTTACAAATTTAATGTTCAACCAAAAGCTAAAGTTAATAAAAAGCTAAACACATGTCAGTACTTCCTCATAAATGGCTTCTCAAAATATCTATCAAGTTCACGACTCTAGAAAACTGACACCTGAGCTTCCATCATCCACACAAACTCCTATAAATATACAACCATATCACCAATCACGATTCAGACTATAACTTGTCGTCCATTTATCCTCAAGATCATCAAAAATCGAGTCTTTATGTTGGTTATGGCACCCCACAACATGCCCAAGTCCAACAACCACCACCTTCAAAGAACAGTGTCAGACATATCCTTCGAGATCTCGAAAGAAGAAATCCTTGATCTCAAGGCACTGCCACCAATATCTGAGGTTGAAGATGCCAAGTGCGAGTGCTGTGGGATGAGCGAGGAGTGCACGACGGAGTACATAGAGCGCGTGAAGGACAAGTACTTGGGGAAGTGGGTGTGCGGGCTGTGTGCGGAGGCAGTGAAGGAAGAATTGGAGAAGAATGGAGGAAGGAAAGAGGAAGCCCTAAACGCGCACATGAGCGCGTGCGTCAAGTTCAACAAGTATGGTAGGGCTTTTCCTGTTCTGGTTCAAGCTCAAGCCATGAAAGAGATGTTGAAGAAAAGCAAGCTCGATGGAAGAAGAGCCAGGTCTTTTAACCCAAGAGACACTCATAATAACAATAACCACAACGATAAGAAAGGAGGCATTGCAAGGAGTTCAAGTTGCATCCCTCAGCTTTCTCTTGACAGATGATACTTCTTCTTCTTCTTCTTCATTTCCTCTGATTGTTCTGCTTAAATTCTTAGATACCATATATATGTATGCAGTTCATGTACATGCTTGCATCACTTAGTTCTGATCATTGCATGTATGTACGTGCTTGCATTATATATATGATATCAGAAAAGTAGGGCAAATGTGTTTTATATAAAAATTCTGGTACTGGAACTACCCTAAGGTGACAAAGCAGTTTTTCTTTGAAATGTATGCATATATACACAAAGTATATATGTATATATAATCTCATTCGTTGAGTCTCGAACTGCTTATTAAGACCTGTATTTTTTTGGGAAAGCAGGATTATTTGTCATGGGAAGTAGGCTGAGTTATATACCTTTTTGAGGTTTTTTAGAGGTCTCTTCCTAAGTTTTTCTTTTCCCCTCTTTTTTGGGAGAAAAAAGGAGAAATTCTTTCTCGTTTATTCTTGTTGTGTCTGTTCTGTGTATTAGTTCGTTTTCGTTGTTAGAGTTATATATTGTTTATTCCCTTTCCTTCACTATTACTAAGAGGGATTTCATATATGTTTTGGTCAAATATAGCTTTTGTAATTTATTTCTTGATGTACCAATAATTATATATGATGAAATGGATACATTAAGGTTGCTTTTGATATTTGTATATATGTCCTTAAGAAGCAGACATGTAATTGACTACGTATTGAAACGGCGTCCAAGGGCTAATTTATATAATATATTATTATACATATTGTTTTGACAAAACTATTATAATTAAATATGCAGGCTTATGATATAATTTTTTTTTTTTAAAAAAGTGGGCTTCTAAAGAATCCACGACCAAGAGACTATATTGCGTGAGAGTATATACTTTTCTTTTCAACAATCACATGCAAATTCCACACAATACATCTAAATAATTATCATTTTTTCTTATTCAATTATCAATGGACATTGTAGTATTTAAATGTGTTACGTGGGATCTTAAAATAATTATCTATATTTATATTTGGTGAAGTTAGAGTGTAATTTTTTATTTATGAAAAGTAATTGTCATTGTTTAACAGTTGTCTTTCTAATTTTTATGATTAATATATTGGAATCCATTGCATATATAAGCAATATATAGAGTTGATTAGTTCCCCCCCACCCTGGTCACATAGTTGATCAATCAATTTTTTAAAAAATACATCATGAGATGACTTGCTTTAATTTGGTTTAATATAGAATGAATTTTATTATTTACAAGTCGTGAGTATAAATCTCACTCATCAAATTTCATATAATATATATACAAAGAATGCGTCTAATTATATGATATGAGTGTAAGACAGTAAAAGCCAGGAACTTTATTAAACTGAGAATGTGTCCAATGACTTTGATTGATTAGCTTGTCACAAAAAAGAAAAAAGAAAGAAGATTTCCACTTAACTGCGCCATCAGCAACCCTGTGAATTTCCTAGTAGATCGGCATGATTAACACGTGATGAATTGAATTTTATTGATATCAAGAGATCAATAATGATTTTTCTTTTTTACTAAATATATTAAGCTGATGTAAGTTGGGAAATTTTTTTTTTGGGGGTTGCTGGGGTGCGCATCTTTGTAATTAAAAATATTAATATTGATTATCATGTAATTATTAGTTGGAAAAAAAAAAAGACAACCAAAATAAAGCTCCACTTAGCTTAGTGCGGAAGGCACTGTAAGTATGTCACGTGAGAGTGGTGATCGATGAGGTGAGAACAGCACCCCGTCACGTGAGACTTATGGGGCAATTAAATAAGGAGCAAACCTTTAATTTTTACATTTCAATTTATTTGTAAAGTCGTTCAATTAGGCCTAATTTGATGAGGGTACCAATGCCCCCAACCACCCACTCTAAATAATTAAAAAACTTGATGTGAACTTTCGGTCTGTAATATATAAAATTTGAGAAATAAGTTATATTATTCATGATTGATGAATAATGTAATATTTTTAATAATTTTATAATACACTAAGATTAATTAATAAATTGATTTTAGAAGTATAATTTAAAATTTTTTATTATAAAATGTTTTGAATTTATAAATATGACACATTTATTTGTAATATATTGATTTGAATAATAATTTATGTTATTCATAATTCATGAATAATTAATGTATTTTTTAATAATTTTATAAGACATTAAAATTAATATATTGATTTTAGAAGTATAATGTAAATTAATTATTTGTCATTCATGATGGCTAATTTTTTTTTTTGTCTAAACCCAACTATTTGGGCTATAAAGTCATTTTGGCTCAAAACCCACCTAACATTTTTAAAAAAGGAGTGATTGAGGGAACTTGGTCAAGAATCCCTACCCAAAAAAAAAAACAAAAAAAATACTTGGTCAAGAATGTACCTTAAAAAAGCAAGAGTGTGAAAGTCATGGAGAAAATTATAGTTAGTAGCCCTAAAATAAATGGCCACTTACTCTGGTATGAAAGGGAAGCCATAACATGGACAAATCTCTCCTCAATTCTTCAACACTACACATGACTTTTTCAATAATTTTTTTAAAGAACACTTCAAAATTCACCTGTCTAGGGTAAAACCCAAACTTGGATCCTGTGCCATCCTTTACTTCGTCCTGTGCAACTCTTTTTATTCTTTAAAAAAATTAACACAACACCCTTAATATATCACTCATCTAGCAGAAAGCATTAAAGTTTTTTAGCAACTAGTAGAACATTAGTTCTTAGCAGAACAATAGTAGCAAGTGTAGCAAGTGTTCAGCGCTTTTTTTTTTTTTTTTTTAATTCTATCTTTGGAGAAAATTATAGTTAGTAGCCCTAAATAAATGGCCACTTACTCTGGTATAAAAAGGAAGCCATAACATAGACAAATCTCTCTTCAATTCTTCAACACTACACGTGACTTTTTCAACAATTTTTTTTAAGAACACTTCAAAATTCACCTGTCTAGTCCGGTGCACTCTTTTTATTCTTTCTGTAAAGATTTAACACAACACCCTTAACATATCACTTATCTAGTAGAAAGCATTAAAGTTTTTTAGCAACTAGTAGAGCATTAGTTCTTAGAAGAACATAGTAGCAAGTGTAGCAGTGTGCCAGCGCTTTTTTTTTTAATTCTATCTTTTATTTTTTTTTAAAATTCTATCTTTTATTTCTTATAATTTTTTTTTATAATTATTAATATATGTCTGCATGCACTCACTATGCATGCAAGCAGCAAGTTTCACATGTTTTTTTTTCATTTTTATTCCTTCATTCCCCTTATTTTTAAGCACTTGTATTTAGAAAAATTGTGATAGAAGATCGTGAGAACTCACCGTTTGTTTTAAAAGTCAAGAACATTGTACTTTTTGAGGACACACTCCTCTAGCATGCTTGTGCAACCAAAAACACTGGAAACATAGTTTCAAATGTTTTGTACTTCTCTTACGAATTATCTTTGGTATTTAATGATAGTTTTTTACCAGAAGAAATTGAACATTAATTAAGGGTATTTTATGAAAAATATTATTGTAACAGGCAAAATGGTTGGGTTCTCATACAAATTAAATGACCAAAATAAAATGCTAAATGGGATATATTTAAGATTACAAAACAAAGATTTGATAGATTCTTTAAATTTTTGGGATTTAAATTCTCTTAAGTGGGGTGTGTAAATTTCTCACTGCAAAATAAAGTAACTTTGGTGGTAATAAAAGAAGGTGTGGCGATAATTAGAAACTTGTGTTGTCGTTAAAGTCATTATCAAAGTAATTTTTAGTGGTAATTTTTAAAAGTAACTACTAAAAATGTTTACTACCAAAAGTAGTTTTAATAAAAAGAATTTATGAAATTACTTTTAGAGCGACGAAAAAATATTTCATAAAAAAAATAACTAAGAAATTAACAATAATTTATTAATTATCGCCAAAAATATTTTCATTAAAAATTAATTAAGAAATTTAAAATGATTTATACAATAGTTTTTTAAAGTTGATAGGTTGTCGCCAACAAAAGTATTTTAATAAAATTTAAAATATTTTTTTATAAATTAATTTATGGGATTCCTTTTAGCGGGCAAATTTATTGCCACTAAAGGTGTTTATATATAGAATGAGAAATAATTCTATATAAGATTAGTAATGATTACTTTAAAAGTAATGATCTTATTAAGCTAGTATTTTAATAATGACCTTATTTTAATAATTACATTTAAAAAAATTTCTTATGGGTTATTTTTTAATAATGATCTTATTAAGCTAATACATAATCAAGCTAAGTTATATATAAATTATAAATGAATTATTTTTCTATAATTTTTTATGAATTATTTCAAAAAATTTCTTTAAATTATAATCAGGCTAAGTTATATATAAATACTTATTTACTTAAATATATATACATAAATAGCATTAGAATGTTAAAGTTATATAAAATTATAAGATACAAATGACATTATAAACTGTTTGACACATTACGCTCTTGATGTTTAGTTTGGTATATATATGGTATCTATTTCGTTTATTGAGCCTACTTTTCACTATCATAGGATTATTTAAATAAGACGCTTCATATTTGATGATTATTTAAAATAAGAAATAAATAAAAGAGGTGAAGAATACTTAACAACTTTTAACTATCAAGTAAAGTTGGCTGTAATATATGTCGCATTGATATTTGATCATTAAAAACTATCAAGTATTAAAAAAATAAGCGTCAAACATGGGAATATTCTGTAGTATTGTTTCTTCATCCAGTTTTAGTTCTTCAAATTACTCAAATTTGTTGGGAATATTATTGGATGAGAATTGTAAATTTGATTTTTTTTAATTTATGTTAATATTTGAATTATGAATGAAATTATATATAAACTTATTAAAGTTTATTTATTTTACATTGTAAAGTTATTAGAAAGTATTCCCTATTATTTTGAGATTGACTCCATTAAAGAGATTTTAATAGAAGTCTAAACTAATCTAGATCGAGTCCAGACAAGAACAATAAAAAAAGGATGAAGATATTTGCTATGTTTTACCAATCTCCAATGACAGCTCCATGAACAAAAAGCCTAATCCTTTGTTGTGTAGCATTTACTTTTACTTTATCACATGTCCACTTATTTCCTATATCAAAGATAATAAAAAATAATTGTTCAAAATCACTATTAACAAAATTTATATGATTAAAATAAATTTTTTTATTAAAATACTTTTTAAGATAATTGAAAAATTGTAGATAAAATTTATTTTTAATAATGACCTTTAGTAAAAAGTTGCCTTCAGAAGTCTTTTTTTTTTTTTGTAGCGTTTGTGAAGTCTTTTTTTTTTTAGTATTTTTGTCATAAAGGCAAATTTCACTAAAATTTACTGATTTTAATTCCAGAGGATTTAAATCCAAAATTTTTAAATACATAAAGCAAAGAAAATTTAAGGTATAATTTTTTTAAAAAAGAAGGCAACAGTGAAGATCTATGCGCCCACAGGCTAACGAAAGGAAGGGTAGATTCAAATGATACAATATGGCCTCCTCCACAGAGCTTTATTATTTCTCCTACTTCCTCTCCCTTTTCCCACATATATAACACAAACCCTTTGCCCTTTCCTCTTCAGTTGATCTCTTCGTGTGTGTGTCTCTCTCTAGACACTAAAAGAGAACAATCCAAACCCCCCCTCTCTCTCTCGAGCTGTACACAAATCAAAGAGCAATTCAATAATACAGAAATGGAAAGCAATTTGCCGTTAATATCCAAGAGACTATGCAGCATTGTACGCGTCTTCTTCTTCATGCTCCGTAAAGGCTTCGCCAAACGAAAACTCGTCATGGGCCTCAACCTCATGCTCAAACGTCCAGGCAAACTCGCCAGTAAAGCCATCGCCAATTTCATCTCCCACCACCACCACCATGGCAGCTCCGCCGACGACGCACCCCTGCAGTTCTCTACCGCACGCGAGTACGAGTTCAGCTGCAGCAACACTCCCAACTACAGCTTCTTCTCCAAACGTCGTCATGCCCGTCACTTGTTTGCGTGTGCTCACGCGCCGCTCACGCTGGACGATGACGTGGTGGTTGTCAATAATGCCCTTAAGAAGGCGTTGGAGATGCTTGATGACGACAAATATAAAGATGCGGTGGAGGCGTCACCGGCTCTTCCTGGGTTCGGGCGGACGCCAACGGCGACTGCGAGACAGTTGAGGGTGACAGATTCGCGGTTCCCGGTGCAAGACGGCGACAATGACAGGGACGACCAGGTTGACGAGGCGGCGGAGGAGTTCATAAAGAGGTTCTACAAGGAGTTGAGGAAGCAGGATTGAGCAATTTCGGATATATTCCTCGTTAACTGTTAATTGTGATTAATTAACCGTAAGACATTTTGGTCAAAAAAAAAAAAATAACCGTAAGACATCAATCAGTTTTGGATATGTTGATGATAATTAAACCCAGCTCAGTTTTCATTTATTTGTGGGTTGGGGATTTTGGTTTCAAGTTGTTATTTCAGCCGTCATATATATATATATATATATATATTTGTACTTTTAATTGTTTTATACCCATAAATAAAGGGAGAGAAAATTAGGTTGTTTGATTTATTAGAAAAACATCAAATAGAATTGATTAAAAAAATAAAATAAAAATGAATTAAGTTACTCTTTACTCATAATAAGTATGATAAAATTTATTAATATATATTACAAATGTGAGAATCATCACACCTTTAAAAATTTTATAAATCATGATTATCAAACCTCTTTCTTATAAATGTGCTCAGATATCTCCTTTAATTATTTTTTTATCTTTATTTTTTTAACCCATTACATTCTATTCCATTCTTTTTTAGCATGCAAACAGGACTTTAGATACTATAATTTACATCACTTTTTTCAGGCTTCTTGTTCATCTTTGTGGAATGGTCTTGATCGAACCATCATGTAAGCATCTTAATTATTTTCCAACAAGAAAATAGGAAACCACACTAAAAAAATGCAACTGATGGTTCACATTCCGTAATTAGACAGTTTGCAAGGACCATTACTATAAATATGATATCAATATAAAAGATAAAATTATAAGAATTACAGAATCCTGGGCTCTGTGTGTGTGTGTGTGTTAAAGAAAATCATTCTCTTCGTTGATGTCACTGGCCTCTCGCTCTAGGAGAGTATAATAATGAAATGCACACTTAATATTCAATTATGTTTTTTTGTCACTCTCACCATTTGAATACGTATATGCATGCATACATATATGCATATGCATGAATGCATTATAGAACCTAAATACAGTCAAGCTTCGTATGTTCTTCATCTTTTTTCTTTTCTTCGTCGAACATTACAGAAAGCGTAAGTTTTAATAAATCTGAGTTTACTTCGAGTGGTAAGAGTGTGGTGGGGCACAAGGGTAAACATCTAAATTCAAAACTCTTCAAATCTATTGAAGTTAAAAAAATAATAATCTAACAAATATACATATAACATTAGACTAATTCACCCAATAAAAATGAAATTAGACAACAAAAAAGAGTCTCTAATCTTATAAAAATGACATATGTGCTTCTAAAAGTGATGAGCTATATTGTTTATGTTTGATGGAATAGTAAAATTTAGGGACAATTAAGTTGAAGTATAAGGTGATTTACACATTGTGTGGGACTAGCATGTAATTTTTCTTAAAATTTATTGCACAGCTGTGTCATATGCAAAAAATTTGTTAAAACTATTTGCACTAACATGTACCCACATGATTCCGCTATCATCTTAAAGTGAAACCATTGGCTGCTCTATCTCTCCCCAAAATATTGTTTCCTTTCTAATTTGCTTTTGCTTTATTACCATTCTTTTCATTTTTTATAACTTTTTCAAGCACCACTACTTTCTCCTTGCAAGCTAACTATCACACAAAGCATGAAGATCCACTTGCAAAGAAACAGTTGATCGCATTGGCATTATTAAACCAAATAGTACTAACTTGGGATATTTTCTCTAGGAACCAAAAATTAGTAGGAGAAGTAGGAAGGGTCAAAACAAGTTTTTGTTAATTAATTATTCATAATTAAGGTGTTGATGAATTTTGAAAAGATGTTAATTTTTGAATCGCGATGAATAAATAATTTTACCCACTGACCGAGACTGGTTGGACAACTGTTTGGCTATAAAATCAACTTCGTTAGTTAGCTGTCACGAAATCTTACTCTAGAAGAAAGTCAAGTTGCGGACACGGTGACTTTATTCAGAAAAACAAGTAACAATTGAATCTATTATGATTATTTTTTGAACCCCTCAAGTGCTTACTAATTAGTCTTAATCAAGGTTGTGTTTGGAAAATCGTTTGAACCCTCAAAACGCCGGTTTTCTCAAAAGCTTCTAGAGATCTCTACTAGTAATACTTTACTGTTAGTTTTTTGCTAGTTACATGGACTTGCTTGCAAGTAACTAAAGCTTAACTAAAGTACGTACATAATATATATATATATATATTAAGGAATAGCAATTCACGTGTTAAATATTTTTATAGCCCGCTGATTTGAATGAGGGGCAAAAATTGAGTCTGGGAAACTTCAGAACTTTTCTTGCAGGGTAAAGTTGTGATACTAATTAATATATACTTAATGTAAAATTTGTATGCTAGTTTGTGGTTTTAACACGTATGACGGAGAATGAAAAGGTGTAGCAAAGAAACTCATAAAGCCAGAAGCTTTGGTCCAAGGCCCTGTTATTATTATTATTATTTTTTTTGAACTCGTCTTTGGCTTTATTGTTTCGTCATGTTTCACGTGAAATCTTCGTCTGCAATTACAATTATCACGATATTAATATTCTTTTCCTGCATTCGTTCTTCTTGAATCTTGATTTTTATATGTGTGTGTATATATATATATATGTATATGTATAAGATTAAAATATTAAAAATTTAAAAAAAATATATATAAAGTCCAAATCTCCATTGCTGTTAAATGGACTTTGTAATACTGGTAAGACATAAAACGAGTAACAAGAAAATAAAGTGTGACATGCTTATAAAAAAAAAGAAAAAGAAAATAAAGTGTGACATATATTGTGATAAAATCATAATATAACTCCGCTCCACGTTCTTCAAAATATAATATACCTCTTTACAATTATACCCTTAAGTGAAAGAACTTGGTCTACAAATATTTTGTTTTCTTTTCACAATCTAAAGAGAGAAAGTGATACACATTCGTCAATTTATCTATCTATATATGGTGAAGAAATCATATAGTAGAACTAGTAGTGGCAAATATTAAAGCTAAGCAGCTGGCACATGAATTTTCTAATTTGAACAATCAAGATTCCTTCACTCTTACTTTTTAGGCGTGATCATAAAGGCAGATATGGAATTGCTTTAATTTCCATCTAATTTAACATACCTGTGTAAAGACGTATCAGATAGTGAAAAGTTAAAGTTTGTTGCCTAAAAAAAGTTAAAGAACTTCAAATTATTTTGTTCTGTCCTTTGAAATTGCCAAACCACTCATACAGACCATTTCATATGATTCTTATGTTGCGCGCGTCATAATTGTTATGAGTTTATTATAAATACATCAATTCATCTCTTCGTGTCTCTCAATCTCTCTCTCTCTCTAAATTAAAATCAAGTTGCAGACAAATCAAAGAGCAATTCAATAATATACAGAAATGGAAAGCAATTCGACAGTAATATCCAAGAGAGCGTGGAGCATTGTACGTGTCTTCTTCTTCATGCTCCGTAAAGGCTTCGCAAAAGGGAAACTCATGATGAACCTCAACCTCATGCTCAAACGTCCCGGAAAACTCGCCGGAAAAGCCATCGCCAATCACATCTCCCACCACCATGGCGGCTCCGCCACCTTCCACGACGTTCCCCTGCACTTCTCCACTGCACGAGAGTATGAGTTCAGCTGCAGCAACACTCCTAACTACAGCTTCTTCTCCAAACGCCGCAATCCCCGTCACTTGTTTGCGTGTGCTCAAGCGCCACTCACGTTGGACGATGACACGGTGGCGGTTCATAATGCCCTTAAGGTGGCATTGGAAATGCTGGATGACAAAAAATATAAGGATGTGGTGGAGGCGTCGCCGGAACTTCTAGGGTTTGGACGGACTGCCATGGGGAGACAGTTGAGGGTGACGGATTTGCCATTCCCGGTGCAAGATGGCAACAACGACAGGGACGACCCAGTTGACGAGGCGGCGGAGGAGTTCATAAAGAGGTTCTACAGGGAGTTGAGGAAGCAGGGTTGAGCAACTTTGGATATTTTCTGCGTTAACTGTTAATTATTATAATTAATTAACAGTAAATTAAACATGAACCAGTTTTGGATATATTGGTGGTAATTATCCCAATCTCAGTTTTCACCTTCGTGGGGGTGGGGACTTTGGTTTCAACATTCAACGTTGTTATTTCAGATATACTTCATGTGTATTTTGTGTTGCTTTATGCTCAATAAATAAATAAAAATTAGATATTATAATTAACTGTCGGCAGATTTAACATTTCGGCTAAAATTTATATCACAATTTTCAGCTCTTATTGTTCATTTTTGGGGCATGTTCTTGATCGAACACATGATCATTTTTGGGGCATTTTCGCATTACTGTGAAATCACCATGCGTATAATTATATGATATCAATATATAAAATATAAAATTTATAATCAAACGTTCAAAAATTTGAATAATTAAAAAAAAAAGCTTGAATGTATATATAATGTAGCTCAGGTGATGATGATGAGGTGAAGTATGGATTAAAAATACTATTATAATATATTAAAAAACAATTATATAACAAACATAGATACGAGATTAGATTAACAAGGATTTGTTTTCACTAGATCTAATTAAAAATAATTTATGCTATTACTTATGAACATTAATTGCAACTTTTTGAGAGTTTCGTAGTAGCATATATTAATGTACGTACGTACTATGATCACATTTGGTGACTAAATTAAAATATATATTAATTGCAGTTTAGTATGTGTAAAAAAATTAAAACAGTATTTGTTGAAAGTATAAAATAGGATTTCAAATCCAAGAGCACCACTATTTGCATTAACTTGTCCCTATATGATTCCACTAATATCTCACGGTGAAACCATTGGCTGCTTCTTTAAAATATCGTTGCCTTTCTCATTTGCTTTCTATAATTTCTTCTCCTTTGCTTTTGCTTTTAATTATTCTTTCCTTTTTTTTTTGACTTTTTCAAGTATTTATAAGAACCACTTCCTCCTTGCAAAGTAGCTATCAAACAAAGTCTCTCCATCTCCATGATGATCCACTTACACCACCACTACTACAGTAAACATATCATTTTATGGAAGGCTTTTTATTTCGGTTGAAGGATAGTATATATCTAAAATTTGCATTAGTTAATATGCAATTTGGACTCTAAATCATATATAATCCAAACTACATTATAATGAAATGTCTTATTCTACTGTCTGACCCACAATTTTCATTGGCATTTTAAAACTCAACTGTAATGTCATTTTTGTGCAATGCATAGTCATTAGGGTATGTGTACTTTTATATACTATACCAATCGTGCACAAAATTTTCTTGGCTCTGTAGTTTCGAAAGTTTATGGAAGCATTTATTTCAACGTACAATTCAAGCAAGTTGGTATAATTTATATCGTTTCGTTAATTTTTTTTTTTTTTACTTTCAAATTGACTAATCTCAACACAATTGTCAAGTACATATATACTTAGTACACCCTACTTACAAAAAACCGAAGCTTATTTGTCATCATGGAGTATATCTTCTATTTATCATTCAATCCAAGAAATTCACAACTCCTCCCTTTTAGGACACAGTGGGCCTATTTGGTTTTTGTTTCCATATATTGCTTTTAAAAATTGTTCTGTAAACAATCTTAATGAAAATTTATTTGGTTATGTTAATTTAAAATGGTTTTAAATTTTAAAAATGACATGCTGATAGTAATGTTTGCAAGCGGTTGATGATGATAATTTATGATAAAAATTAGTCAAACTAACTATATTTTTTAATAATAGAAAGTAGTGTGCTTTGAAAACAAAAATAGAATAAAATGAAAACAACTTTAATATGTTTTCATTTTTTTTTGTTTTGAGAACACTTTAAATGAGGGTACTTATCTAACTCAGTTTTCCAATTTTTTTATTTTTAAAAATAACAAACAGTTTTTAAAGTTAAAAATCAAGCAAGCCCGTAATTCCTTAATCTCTATTTCACATGCCCTCGGGCTTAAATGAGAGAGTAAGAATTACCTTTTGTTTGGATGGAGGGAAAATTAGGGAGGAAAGAAAATTATGAGAGAAAATTTCTCATAGTTTTTTCTCCTCTGTATTTTCTTCCCACATTTTTCTCCATCCAAACCAAATCTAATTAGAATCTGGAAAATTTCAGAACTTAATTTAATTCATGAAAATTTAAATTGTAAAAATTTTAAAAAATTAAAATGTTGATTTGGAGCCAAAAATAATTGTGAATGTCGGATACTTGGATTGTTTATTTCTTGTGGGCAAAGCTGTGACTGTGATACTAATTAACAATAAATATAAACTTAATTTAAATGTTAAATGCTTGCTGGCTAGTATTGCTATTTGCTAGCTCGTCGTTTTAACATTTATGATGCACAATGAAAAGGAGCAGCAAAGAAACTCATGAAGCCGTAAGTTTAGTTGAATGGTTCGGTACTGATACTTTGAAAAATGAGGGCTCTGTGTTATTATTATTATTATTTTTAACTCGCGTCTTTGGCCTTTTTATTATTTCGTCACGCTTCACGTGAAATCTTCATCTCAATTACAATACAACTATCACGATATTAATATTATTGTTTGTTCGCATTACTTCTTTTTTCACAATCGAGAAAGAGAGTGTGTGTTGTTTTTTAAGGTAAAATATCAATATAAAAAAAATATAAAAACTAGACAATTCAAATTTACTGTGATAAAATTAAGAAAAGAGATCCAAATAATGCCTCAAAGTTTTGTTGGCTAGTGGCGAATAACTCCTCAAGAGATTGCGTGCTTTGTTAAGAAGCTCAGGCTGTATATAATTTCAACTTTTCAACAAATTAAATCATATTACTTATAAATCATAAACAATACGACCGAGTGTTTGGATCAACTGATTAGGAGATTGATTCCCCTTAACCAAAGGTGTGCGACTGTGCTCATAGAAACTCAAATCTATTACATTTTGGATAGCTTTCTATTAGGGGCTGCTTGAATAAATGATTTGTTAGAAATGGGCAATGGCATGCTTCCACCATTAAGGCAAAAGCATTCAACAAAGTTAATCAGCTTGACTCTGACTTCAAATTCCACACATGACGAAAATCCAAGCCCACGTATCCCATCACTATTTCTTAATCAACCCTCTTTTTTGTACGCGCATCTTTATTAAGGCCAGGTCTGGGCCCCATGAAATACATTAGTCATTAAATTTGAGAAGTATTACTGATTTATAATTGTTTCTTAACAAAGAAATAAATATCAGGCATGTCAGAAATGTTGAGTCTCAAAGATAACAATAGGATTTTTAAACTCCCTTCCCTCGATTTAGTTGGATGTGAAGATATAAAGAATAGAATCATCGTCCCAAGTCTTAAGGGTTAAGCTGAGCTCCTACATGGCATGATTCCTCTCTTGGAAATGGATTGGGTTTTTATCTTGGGCTTGGAGGCTCTGTCTAATTAGCTCTCTCTTCTTGACTTTGGGCAACATTCCACTTTAGGTCCAAACAATAATTTATAAATAGTACATCTTATTATACATAAATTATTTCATAGTTTTCTTTGTTTTTTTTCTCCCTTTCTTGACATAACATAACGAGAAAAATTTAAATGGAATTTTATTTATTTATTAAGTGAATTCTTGAATCTTCAGTTTGCTTTACCGCTGAACAAATATTTTGTTTTCTTCGCTCAAATATAAAAGCTAAGCATTTCGCATGTGATTTTTCTAATTCAGACTTGATACACATCATCCATGATCCATCCATGACCCATCCAATAAAATTATACTAATTTAATCAAATAAAATATTATATGTTATTATTTTTAATGCTTTTAATTTTATAATAGAATGTTTATTTAATTTCTTACATTTTCTCTTTCTATTATTATTAATATTATAATCAATTTATATTTAATTCCATCTGAGGTTTTTATTGAATTGATTAGGATGATGTGATACACTAGATTATTTAAGAATTTTTCTTTTAACAAGTCAAGATTCCTTTACCCTCGCTTACTTTTTTGGCGTGATATATGGAATTGCTTTCCATAGCTTTAACATATAGCAGTACTCTTTCCGATCTTATATATACCTGAGTTACTTCTAGGTAGTTGAATTATTAATGATCTCTTAATTGAAAACAAGGTAACACAGAATATCTATGCACCCAGAAGCTATTGTAGGGAAGGGTAGATTCAATTATACAACATAGCCTCCCTCCACCACTAATCTTTTTGGTTCTCCTCCTACCTACAAATACACATCCTCTTTGCTCTTTCCTCTTCAATTAATCTCTTCCTGTTTCTCTCTCTCTGGACATCACAAGAGAAGAATCCAAACCCTCCCTCCCTCCCTCTCTCTAACGCCGTAGACAAATCAGAGATCAATAATTCATTACAGAAATGGAAAGCAATTTGCCCGTAATATCCAAGAGAGCGTGGAGCATTGTACGAGTCGTCTTTTTTATGCTCCGAAAACGCTTCGCCAAGGCAAAACTCTTGATGGACCTCAACCTCATGCTCAAACGTCCCGGAAAGATCGCCGGAAAAGCCATCGCCAATCTCATCTCCCTCCACCACCACGGCAGCTTCGCCGCCTACAATAATGACGCTTCCCTGCACTTCTCCACCGCACGCGAGTACGAGTTCAGCTGCGGAAACACTCCGAACTACAGCTTCTTCTCCAAACGTCGTCATCCCCTTCACTTGTTTGATTGTGCTCACACGCCTCTCACGCTGGACGATGACGCGGTGGTTGTCAATAATGCCCTTAAGAAGGCGTTGGAGATGCTAGATGACAACAAATATAGTGATGTGGCGAAGGGGTCGCCGGCACTTACAGGGTTTGGGCGGACCCCGGCGGCAAGACAGATGAGGGTGACGGATTCGCCGTTCCCGGTGAAAGACGGCAACGATGAGAAGGACGACCAGGTTGACGAGGCGGCGGAGGAGTTCATAAATAGGTTCTACAGGGGGTTGAAGAAGCAGTGCTGAGCGCAATTTTGGATATGTTGTGTTGAATGTTAATTATGATTAATTAACAGTAAGACATTAAGCAATTTTTGATATGGTGGTGATGATAATTATAGATCCCAAGCTCAGTTTTCACCTTTTGTGGGTTAGGGATTTCGGTTCCAAGGTCATTGCTATTTCAGATATATATTTGTACCTTTAATTTTTTTATATTCAATAAATAATTAAAAAAAAAGATACTTGTCACGATTCAAAATATAAGTCACAACTATAGTGTATAAGTTAAGCTAATTTAATCTCACTTAACCTAGCAATCTTTAATTGGTTACACCTCTCACACAAATATTTCCCAAAAATATAAATATTTATTTAAATAATCTTAACCATTCCCACTAAATTGAAGTGTCAAAAATGATAAATCAATCATGTAATATCTTGATACCCAATCTTTCAAATTAAACATTCAATCACAATATTCAGACCATCACAACACTCAAGGGAAGAGGGACTCTGCTTTTCTTCTCTCTTCTTTTCTCTTCACTTCCCCCATCTCCACCCTTCATTAATTTTATCTTTTAAAATAAAATATTTAATAAAATAATATAAAAGGTAGAGATGGGAGAAGTAGAGGAAAAAAAGAAAAGAAATGAGAGTCTCTCCTCCCCAACACTCAATCACAACGTTTGATCACAAACTTATATCAAACAATCGTGTCATTAAACATTCAATTATAGATACTCTTTCAATTGTCACTCATTATTAATCCTGATGGGAAATAATTGTCCCATTTACAATATAATAAATATATATCTCTTCATTATTTACCAGTGAGCAATAACCATCCTGCCAATATAACATATACAATTTATTACATGCCATATAAATTTATGGTGAGGAATAATGTAATGAAACGACTGACATATATATAAATATAAGGTAAAATAATTGAGAAATTAAAAGAATACAAAATTAATTAAAATAAAAATAAGAATAATTGAAATAAAAATGTTTTCCTCCTTTAGAAAACAAACCAATTTAATTTTTTTGAAAATGAAAAAATCAAAATTAAAATTAATTATAACCATAAATGTTCGTCCTTCTTTTTCTCAGAGTTTACCCCTAGATTTTCTTGGTGGGTCCAATTTATTCACAATAGGGTGTGCTAATAGTACAGTCATCTCAAAACCTTTTCAATGATCGAATTCCTTAGAGCTTGGCATAACGCACACCCTTAGGATTCGATCCCACAATCTCTCCTACAAAGTGAAGAAGTGGGCAACATTAGTACCACTAATCTTTGTAGAAGAGATTGTAGGATCAAACTCTAGGGGTGTGCGTTACGCCAAACTCTTGGGAATTCGATCATTGAAAAGGTTTTATGATGATTGTACTATCAGCATACCTTATATCTTAAGTAAATTGAGTTCAAAAAGGCCCCACTCTCTGCCACACTAAAAACCTGGAGGTAAATTTTGAGAAGAGAGAAGACAAACAGTAAACAAAAGAGGAGAAAATGTAATAACATTTTAGAAATAGTGGTGCCAACATTAACAATCATCGTTATCCTTTCCATCACACAATCATCATGTCATTCTCAAATTTCAAGAACGAACCACATCTCATAATTTATTGAAATAAAAGCAATACCAGAATAACAATTAAAACTAAATTTTGAATCAAACACTCCTATGATCTAAGGATTACAACAAAGAGAAGAACAAACAAGTTTTGGATTTTACAAGAACACAATCAAAATTTGATGATACTGGAAAAGACAAACACAAGTGAAAACAAAAATTATACCACCTTACTATTTATACACTCACCGATTGAGATTAATAGTAGAGATATATCCCTTCCCCTTTATATGACTTTGCACCAATTGCAGAAGTCTCGCTAGCATCACCCGATAAAGGAGTGACGCTTGCCAAGAAATTAGAGGGTGATGTTGTCCCTCAGGCTTGTTGCATAAAACAATTAAATAGGAATTAACGTGGCTTCAACAAGTGTGGCGGCAGTGGTGTAGAAGAATGAGTGGATGAAGTATAAACGAATCTAGGGCTTTGTATGGTTAGATCTAATAAATCTAAATAATGATTTTTTTTATTAATATATCTTCTATGTATGTGTATAAAATTTAAGATACATTATTTTAAGGGTTTGTTGGAGTGCTAGAAAATCCTATGAAATATGGGATAACTATCTTAAATATTTCACAAGATATACAACTTTAAAAATTTTAATTTTAAATAAGGAAAAATTGATCTTTTAGTCCTCCAACTTTTAATTCACTTGTAATTCAATCTTTCAACTATAACTTGCTGTGACTCAATCCCTCAATTTTTGAATCACTTACAAATTAGTTCCTGAACTTTTGTTAATTTGTTTTCATGTTAGCTTATATCTCACATCAATGAGCAAGAGGAGGGTATTTTAGAATAATATATAAGCATTTTTTATCCCTCTTATTTGATAAAAAATTTTAAAAAAAATTAAAAAATAAGGATCAAATTTAAGTGAATCAAAAGTTGAGGGATTAAGTCACAGCGAGTTATAGTTGAAGAACTGAGTCACAGCGAGTTATAGTTGAGGGACTGAGTTATAAGTGAGTTAAAAGTTGAAAGATTAAAAGATTAATTTTCCCTTTAAATAATAACAAATTAATTTTATTTAGTTTAAATTTATTTTTTTTGGCCTCTCTATTAGGGCTATCACAATAATAATCTCTCTGATTTAACATTTCGCCTGCAATTTATTCTTCTTGTTTTGCGGCATGTTCATGATCGAAAACATGAGCATCATATTTTATTACGCTGCATAAGAACGGCGAGGCATATGACTGTGATATCAATGCATAGAACTTATAATAAATCATTTTTAAGTTATAATTGTGTGCAAAAATTTAAGTTTCATAAAATGCATTAAAAACGTGTCTACCTAGTTTTAATATTATTTACAATTAGAATTCAAAATTATATGTACTCTGTATATTCCCTCATTCATACTCATCTCTGATATATATATATATATATATATATATATATAGCTGCGTGCGCTCTTTCCCACACTTTCTTCTACAAAAAGGATTTTGAATCTCTGCATATAAAAATTGATTGAATATCAATTAAAGGACATTAGATTATAAATAATTAATTTTTAAGAAAAAAATTATATACTTAATTACATTCTTATTTTCAAGTAAATCAACACACGGATCCATTACACATTATTTACGCTAAAACATATACAAAACTCTTTTAGATTTTAAGATAGTTGTATAGAATCTCTCTCACTAATTAAAAATTTAAAATTAACTCTTTGTTAAATTTTTCTTACCACAAACTCTTCTACTATTATTTTTTATTTATCTTAGTAACAAAAGTTACCATATAATATAAAAAAGAGACATAACAATTTATATGGCATCCGGTGTTAGCTAATAATAACAAAAAATATAGATAGAATTTTTATTAACATTGGATGCCACATAAACTATTACGCGTCTTTTTTTAACATGACATGATAACTTCTATTAGCTAGTAAGATAATTAAGAAATAATAGTAGAGGTTTTGTGGTGAAAAAGAAAGGGTTCAAGAGGTTAATTTTAAACTTTTAAAAATAAAGAAGTTTTTGTGCAATTGCCTCAAAATTTAAGAGTTTTTTTTTAATATTTTAACCTATTGTTTGTTCTATAACAAACTCTTTATTATTAATATTGTAACAAAATAAAATTTACTTATTTTAATTTGATTGGATAAAAGCATATTAATATATAAGATTAAATATATAACTCTGGGTCAAAATGAAATGTCCACTTAATGTACGACACACACATGTATAAAAGTATGTATATGCATATGTCACTTTTACCTTATGAATGCATATATGTATGTATGTGTATATGTCACTCTTGCTTTGTGAATGCATCAATACATGAACGTTGAATAGTGGACACGGCATACACCAAGTCACCAACACGCACCCCCATACATATGTATCATGTCCACTAGGGAAAAAAGTTTGGACATTTGCGCGTGCGCTCTCGCTTTTTTCTTTCGCTCTTTAATTGTACGCTTTTATTTAATGACACTAAAAGAAATTATAACGAAAAAGCTATTACTGTAATATCGTCCTCGTGAAAGTTTTAATAAATATGGAAAATACACAATTATACATGCATTTAGTATTTTAAAAATAATTGATGTTTTTAGAAGTTTTATGTTATGTATCGATGCACAATATGAACACACATTTAGTAACCAATTATATATATATATATAAACACACATTTAGTAACCATATATATATATATATATATATATATAAAGTAATTGCAGTTTATGAATGTGCAAAAAATTTCTTAACATGGTATTTTGGTTTAAGCTTAATTAAATTGGATTTCACAACAAAGAGCAGGACAATATTTGCACTAACTTGTACCCATATGATTCCCCTAATAACATCTCAAAGTGAAACCGCTGGCTATTTTCTCTCTTCAAAATATTGTTATTATATTGACTTCATCATTTGCTTTTTCTTTTATTACTATTCTTTTCATTTTTTTGACTCTTACAAGTCTTTATTATTATACTAACCACTTCCTCCTTGCAAAGTAGCTATATACAACGTCTCTCCATGAAGATCCTCTAACAAAGAAACATGTGATTGCATTGGCATTTTCTATACCAAATGATACTAAATTGTGATGTTCACATTTTTGGCCTTTTTTATTTCTACTTGCTTCACGTGAAATCTTGATATCCATTAGAACTATCACCATATATTAATATTATTAATTCTATGTCTGCCTTAGTTCTCCTCCTCCTCCTCTTTTTTTTTTTTTAAATTTTGGTATATATAATCGAATGTTTGTGTGTTATATTTTCTAATATAAAAAATATTTTCTCCTCACAGATACCAAAATTAATTCTCACTTAGAAAGAAAGTTACACACACACACATTGGTGAATTTATCTATATATTGTGAAGAAATTAATTAATAATATAGTAGCTAGGACTAATAATAGCAAATATTAAAGCGAAGCATCTAGCAAGCATATAATTTTACTAATTTGAACAATCAAGATTCCTTCGCTTGCTCAGTTTATTTGGGCGTGATAAAGCAAGATTTGGAGCTGATTTGACATATAGCTGTTAAACATGTTCAAATAATGAAAAAAGTTA